TTTTTGATAGTGATTTTAATCACTGTCAGATATCATTATACTTGATCCAACTATACCACGTCACAACTGTGCCGCAACCCCCTGTGCTGGGTTTTTTTTCTTAAAACTTCCATAACTTTTTGAAAAATAAATAAATCAACATAATTTTTTTTATTATATAATGATCCAATTAAGAAAATAACTGGTCAACAACATTTTAGACTAATATTTCAGAAGTCATTAACGTTTTTATACCTACATAGGAGGAGAATTCAGATCGAGAATAGTCTAGTAATAAAAAAAACCCAGCACAGGGGGGTCGCGGCACAGTGGTGACGTGTCATAGTTGGATCAAGTATAATGATATCTGACAGTGATTAAAATCACTATAAAAAAAAAAAGCTTCGATGCAAATCTTTAGATAGTGTTTAATTTTAAAAAATTGGTGGATTATTCCAAAAACTACATGATCTGCTAGTTTATTATTAATATCCTAATTAAGATAAATTATGTCGAATGAAAATGGGATTATTAAAAAATATTATATCTCATAAAAAAATAATGTTGATCCATACACTTTTCAATATGTCATAGCATTATAAAGTTAAAAATGTAAAAAATAAAATCGAGAATTTTCACACAATAATAGCATTCGGTAGCCATTTTCACCGTAAAGATAAAATAAAGTCCGAATATTTTTTTTTGCATAATAAAGTAAATTACATTAGCTTTAATTTAAAATATATATAAAAGTGTCAGACTTTCCGGAACACTTTCAAAAGTTAAGTTGAAAAAGTTGTCATTTTAAATCCCCCCTGTGGGCAGATTAAGTGTCAGATTTACAAAAAATATATACCAAATGATAGATAAAGATATCAAGCATCTAAAAAAAAAAAATTATATTGATATGTTCATTTTTGAAAAAGTTACGGCAGTTTTTAGTAAAAAAAATTGAAAAAATTTCGAAAATTAGCGATTTTTAAATTTGTAATTTTTTTGGAGGTTTCCCCCATTTACAGGGAACAAGGGAAATTTTTTCAATTTTTGAGGGTAATGTCTTCGAATAGATACGATTTGTGATCTTTTGACGTATTATTTATCATAGTAAAACCAATACCTTCTCAGCTTCGCATCGAAGCTAAAATTATTACTTTGCTTTGTTAATATTTGAAAAAGTTATGGCAGTTTTAAGTACAAAAAACATCCCGATAAAAGATAATTTTTATCGCAAACATTACATTTTTTTTTTAATTTCGACAGCTATTTGCACATAGAAGATAAGGTGTCGAGACAAATTTTTTTTTTTTATTTTATAGTATAAGACATAACCTTTAATTTAATATATGTTTAAAGGACGCAGTATTCCTGGAACATTTTCAAAAGTTCAGTTGAAAAAGATCTATGTTTTATACAATGTTTCAAGTATTGAACGACCCCTATATAAGGGGAAATTGTCCAATTTTAATAAAAAGTACGTGAAATGAAATATGTACTTATAGTGTATTTAGAAAAAAAAATTTGTGCTGATACATACATTTTTCGAAAAGTTATAGCATTTTTAAATTGAAAATTTAAAATCGAAAATCAAAAATTTTAACACAAAAATATCGTTTTTTAACTACGGGAGCCGTTTGCATGTAGAAGATAAAGTGTCGGGACAAATTTTTTTTTTCATTTAACAGGACATAAAATAAGCTTCAATTTGGTATATGTTTAAAGGACGCAGTATTTCCGGAACATTTTTAAAAATTAAGTTGAAAAAGTTAGTTTTTGTAAAAAATTTGCTATTTTAAATCCCCCCCAGTGAGCAGGTTAAGAGTTAAATTTTCAAAAAAATGATATCAAATGAAAAGGAAATATTTAAGGTTTTAGTATAAAAAAAAATCATGTTGATTTGTTGATTTTTGAAAAAGTTATGGTAGTTTTAAGAAAAATAAGTGAAAAAAATGACAAAATTTACCGATTTTTAAATTTGTAATTCTTTTGGAGATTTCCCCCATTTGCGGGGAACGAGGGAAAATTTAAAAAATTTTAAGGGTAATGTCTTCAACTAGATACGATTTATGATCTTTTGACGTATTGTTGAAAGAAATCGGTCCAGTGAGAGCTAAGAAAAAGTAGTGACAGTCACAAAAAAAAAAAATAATAAACACAGTAATCATAGTAAAATTAATACCTTCTCAGCTTAGCATCGAAGCTAAAATGTGTAAAAACATGTATACAGGGGATTCTTTTGACATTATTTATTTGATTTTAATAAGTAATAATTGTGGTAGAAAATTATTTTTGGTATTTTTTAGTACAAATATAGTCATACATTTATTAATATTAATAATACCCTTCATATGAACTTAATATGATCTAATAATAATACGAAAAAAAAATATTTTAATAAAAAAAGATGGCAATGTTTGTCTTGGGCCAGCAAGCTTATTGCTAACTCCTGTACTATATGATTAAAAAAAGTAAAAGTTTCCGACAATTGTCTTCTTTAGTAATTAATCTATAAATTTGGAAATCATATAATTTTAGTGGAATGTGTTAAATTTTTTTGAATTTGTAGCAAATATGCATCGAAATGTTTTACGACAATGATTTTATCAATGTCAGATATTAATCAATACTAATCTAAAAAATAGCCCCAAATCGACTTTGTTGGATCACTACTGTATTTTAATTTCTTTTAGTTAGTTGTATTCTATGTTTTGGTGTTGTTTTTAAATCTATTCTTTTATGTATTTTTAACACATCTAGTTTGTCAAAAGTAGATGACATAAGAAGTAGTTATATACAAAAAAGATTAGAGCGGCATATTACACTTAGTAACTAGCAGAGGTAGATAACGAATTTTAAATTAAAAATTTTTGACATACACATTATTTATGACTTTGGCGGTACTGGTATCAATGAAAATTATTTCATAAAGTGTGTTTTAACTATAAAACAGCAAACACCCAAAAATTAAACTTTATCAATAAAAAACATATAATTATAGCTTCAAAATATGTATGAAAAATTGTTAATATGTATTTGGTATGCACAAAAATGATTTTTAAAAACATTTTTTAATTATAATCATTTATTTCAAAATTTTTTATTATAATATATTATGGATTAAAGAGAAATAATAATTTATATATATTTTTACACAAAACAGCTCAAAAAAAAAATTATAATTATTTAAATTTTTGTATTCATCTTATAAAATAATGTAGAATAAATTATTTTATTATTACATTATAATATTGATAAAATTTAAACTAAAAAATAACTATGTTTTCATTTACAAGATAATTCTTTAAAAAACTATGTATAATGAATAAATTTGTAGAGTTAAACATTGTAGTAATAAAATTAAAATTAAAGAAATAATCATGGTGTAAAATTATGTATTTTACTTTCTTCTTCATTACTTTCGTCGACATTAGATTTTATTTTATACTCTTTATTTATGTCAGTAACGAAAATGTCTATAAATTCAATTAGTTGCTCATTTGTGAGTTCATATTCTGTTGGAGGAAAATATTTCTTTTTTATTAAGTCTTCACTTATTACAGTTTCGTACTCTTTCCAATCTTTT